ATTAAATCATTGAATCATGTCCCCCACGTCCCCCAAGTATTCTACGCCCATGATTACTTCTATGTTTAAACAGTAACTGTAAGCAGAGAGCTCATATGACAGAGCTATTGTCACGGATCCTGTGCCTGCTCTTCCGTTCGCTCACCACCCGAGATCACTTTCTGTTTCGGACTGTGTTTGCACCTCGCCTGGACTATTGCTCGTGTTATTGGATTTCCCCTCTTGACAAGCCCTCTGGATAACGTTCGCTGTCCACTGACTCACGCCCGTTTTGGATTACTCTTTTGTCTTGCCCTCAATATACCTTTTTGCCATTGTCAGAACCTTGCCTGTTTTATGACCACGCCTTTGAATAAAGCTTTGCAGATGGATCCGCACGTCTCACGTCTCGTTCGCCCCGTAACAGCTATAACGTCATTGGCGATTGTTTTGAATCGAGCATCTCTAATGTTTTGTTATAAAGATTCACAACTCTAACTATGCCGATGGTTCAAATCATTCAAGTAAAATCATTAACATGTATTTAACATTGTGACTTTTCAGGACATTTTAGAATGTTCGTAAAGTCATCAACAATAAACTTTATAAGGTTAATTCATACATTTCTTAATTTATAAGGATGCACAGAACTAATTAAGCATTTAATTGCAACACATTTACTGTAAGGCTTTAGATTGAAAAGTAAAAGAAAAAAACATTCTCCAAGCACAGATAACTGAAGTGAATGTGATTTGATTTCAGACTCAAGCTAAGCACACAGAGCTTCAGATTAAACAGCAGTTTGAGAAGCTTCATCAGTTTCTCAGAGATGAAGAAGAAGCTACAATCACTGCACTGAGAAAGGAAGAGGAGCAGAAGAAGCAGATGATGAAGGAGAAGCTGGAGGAGATGAACAGACACATCTCAGCTCTTTCCCACACAATCAAAGACACGGAGGAGATGATGAAAGCCAGTGATGTCTGCTTTCTAAAGGTCTGATTTCAGATCATTGATTGATTGATTGATGGATGATCGATCGAGTTCTTGATTATCAATGGTGTGTTTGTTCTGCAGGAGTTTCCAGTCTCAATGGAAAGGTGAGTGATCTGCTGGTGTCTCTGGTCTCTCTGCTTCTGATCCAAAGCTACTGCAGTTCTGACTCCTGAGTGTTCTTCCAGAGTCCAGATCTTACAGCCGGATCCTCAGACGCCTTCTGGAGCTTTGATTCATGTGCCATGTTACTTGGGCAACCTGCCGTTCAGAGTCTGGAAGAAGATGCAGGGCATTGTTCAAAACAGTAAGTCTGCAGAAAATCTTGCTGTTAAACTTACAATAAAAATGACGGATGGAGGAATATTTACAGATTTTAGCATTACATGCAAATAATCAGATGACCCACTACACCTGCCAAAAAGTAGTGTACAACAGAGTTTACAGTTCTTCTCAAGCATTTCTGTATCTCAAACAGCAGAGCATAGCGGTAGCAGGACCAGGGTCATGGGTTCAAGTCCCAGGGAATGCATGAACTGATAAAATATAAACTTTCAATGTAATATATGTTGTTTTGAATATAAGCATCTACCAAATTCATACATATGATTCCATTTAAATGTATGAATTCGGTAGATGCTTTTATTCAAAACAACATATATTACATTGAATAAAAGCATCTACAGAATTCATACATTTAAATGGAATAATATGTCCTTTATTTTCCAGGAAATAAACTTTCTGGGATGAAAAATATTTTTTCTTTTTTTCATAAGCGTTGTTACACCTGGCTCAGAGATGTAACATTAAGGGAGACGACACAGCGAAATAAGTTAACATAACAGAATAAATACAATTCTGTTATATAAATATTTCACAATAAATAACAGAATCAGTAGTGTTAGTCAGTATGAAATGCAAATGAATGGATGCAAAGTGAAGTGTTGTCAGTGCTAGTGAGTGGATGCGAAACAAAACACAAGTCACAAATTTGGAGCGCGGCTCTGGTAAACTGCCCCAAGCAAAAGCTGAGCAGCGGCCCGACGAACTCTCGCACCATGTTTAAATAAGAGCTATGACGGGCATCAGGAGCGCTCACGTCACGCCCCAATCACAAAACCTGCAACAGAGAAAAGAAACCAAAACCAACACAACTCAATCCTAACAGCGTCCTGTCCAAGATGAGCAGCCACAGTAATTTTCAAAATGTTACAGTAACAAAACAACAACATCATACAAATACATAATTGAAAACATTTGAAATTTTAATCTTCCTTTAGCAGCACAAATTAAAGATTTAAAAGTACACATTGACACCAAACTTTGCATCTTCAGTTCATTTTGTAAAGCATTCCAATCACTCGGTGCGGCATACTTAAAATTCCCTAATTTAGTTCATACAAATGAAACCAAAGAGTATACAAGTTCTGTGAAAGGGTATAAAGAGAAAAGAGCAAAGACATGATGGCAATAGACACAAAATAAATTTATAAATGAACATGTCCCAATGCTTAAGTTAAGCTTAAGTATTGATAATGAGAACCAATGTGCTCTATTATAATGATGAGTTCTGAAATTGTGTGCAATACTGCATCCCAATAGTAAATACAGTAAGCAGTATACAGTGTACACTGTACAGTATTCATTGAGTAGTCAATTAAGTTCCATTGTGAACACAGTCATACGCACAATAGAACTGGTGCAGAAGCACCAGTTAAAAGCAACATTTAAAATAATTAACAAAATAGACATAACCATTGTTTTTGGAATGATAAGACTTATTATAAATGTATTTTAATACATTTGATTAAATATGAGAACAGTTATAATATATTTCTTTTAATAAAACAATGCAGACTTTATATTCTGTTCTCAAAATTTTAGTTTTACCACAATGACAGCATGATGCACAGCTGGAATCATATGAACACTGGTCATTCTGAGATGATGTTCATGATTGATAAACACATTTGAGGTCCTCACTATCAGGTTTACATGTATTTATACACAAATCTTTAGTGATACAATAATTAAAAAATAATATGTGTACAGTTTATTACTGATCAATATTTTAAGGTCAGTTTCTTGCTGATTGTTTTCTTTCATCAGCTCCTGTGATTCTGGATCCAAACACTGCTCATCCATGGCACATCCTGTCTGCTGATCTGACCAGTGTGAGAGGCAGCTGGAACTGTCTACCGCTTCCTGATAATCCAGAGAGATTTGACATCTATCCATGTGTTCTGGGTTCAGAAGGTTTTAACTCAGGAACACGCTGCTGGGACATGGAGCTTAATGAGTGTCCATACTGGTGTCTTGGAATAACTACTGCATCAAACCAAAGAAAGGGATTTGTTTTCTTTAGGACTGGTGTGTGGAGTGTGCAGTATGGGCTCTTTGAAGCAGCTGGTTTTCCTGTTGAGCAAAGGCTTGAGCGTGTTAGAGTTGATCTGGACTATGACAGAGGAACTGTGTCATTCTCTGATACTGTAACTAACACACATATACATACATTCAAAACCACCTTCACTGACACTGTCTTTCCATTCTTCTGTTGTTATGGAACTTTTCCTCTGAGGATCTTACCATTCAATAGTTTGTAAATGTTACACCTGTAAGTATGTATCTTCCTGTGTTCACTGGAAGTGCAGTCAAAAACTCAAGCGGGTGAGGAATGGGTCAATTGTTCCAGTCAGAAATAAGAAATTACTGTAAGTAAAAACTAAGAACTGTAATAACCTTGCCCTGCAATATAAACAACTGTACCAGCTCAAGCTTCATGTTCAACTAGCAGCTGCAACCTGCCACTTCTATCAGCCAGATGACCACTGCATGTTCATTGAAATATTACTTTTGGACATTCATTTGATATTTAAGGTGGATGTGCTTCCTTTCCGAGTCTGCTTCTTCTCAAGGTTTTTCTCTCCTACTGCAACCAACGCTACCTTCAAGTAAAAGCCTGAAGACCCACCTCTACCTCAAGCGATTCATGTAGACCACAACCATAATTTTAGGCACTTTGTATAAATATATTCTGTGTGGGGCTCCAAGCTACCAAGGTTCTGGAACCAGAGGTCCACCCGGGTCCGCTTTGACTTGAAAACCTGGGTTCTTCCTTAAAACCTGTACATTTGCGTCAAAATTTGCCCACAGGGGCATCACAACTGTCATAACTCTGCAACCATTTGATGACAAATTAAAGGGGTCCTATTATGCTCTTTTACAATGTCTTGAATTTGTTTTGGGGGTGTACTAGAACATGCTCTCATGCTTGGTGGTTCGAGAAAACGCATTATTTTTTACATAATTTACATTATTACAATACCTTTCTCCCCAGCCTGGCACAAACGGCTCGATTAGTTCCGGGTTTGATGAAGGCCCGCCTTCCGAAAAACGAAATGTGTTGTGATTGGTTAGCTGTCCCAGTGCGTTGTGATTGGCGAACAGCTTAGAAGGTGTTTCAGTACTGCCCCGCCCCTTGCCAAAGCAGAAAGCTCCGTCTAATCCGGTTTAGTTAAGGATGTTGAGCAACAATATTGCCATATCAATTTGAGCCGGATTCAGACCCAGAGAATTTTGAACAAGAGGATCGCGCAGAACCTTTGCATGCACGGATATTGCAAGACATATTAGAGTGGTAACGTTATTGTTTTTTTTTGGGCTAAATCACGTTTTAGATAGGATGTCAACCGCTTAAAAATAACTGCCTTTACTATGTACAGATAAGTGCATATGTATTATATATTTATATATA